GTTTGGCAGAGAGACCCTCATGGCTGCAGGCAGACGGCCTTAGGAGACCGGATCCGCTGAGGGGGGTCAGTGCAGAGAAGTCCTGGCATGGTGCAGGTCACAGGCAGGCAGGAGGCTGCTGCCCTGCAGAGGGAGAGCACAGGTGGAAAGAAGCACCTGCTAGTCACAGGGGGCAGAGGAACAACTGCCCTGTGCTGGTGGAGAGACTGCCTTTATAGACAGCCCCTCTTTGGGAGGGGCTCACTCCTAGTGAGCCTAGGTTTGCTGACTATGAATAGAATCTGAGAGGACTGGAGATTCCGTAGTGAGCTTCATCTCCCTGTCCTTATCTTTTACCTTTTGGGGCTAAACTTCAGACACAGCCCCCAGCGGTCTGTTATCTACTGGAACCTCCTGCAGACAACCCGGACATCTTGGCATGAGGCTTTGGCACCTGAGAAACTTGACTGTTTTGGCTGTGTCAATTGCTTCACTTGCCCCTTCTACCTGTCCCCTTTGTGTGATTCAATCTTGTGATGCCTCCCCTGCACTTACTATGAATTTAAAAAAAGAACAAAAATAATCAGGGTTGGAAAATAGAAAATTATTATTGGATCATTAAATTAATTTTTGAAAAACATATAGTGGTTGGTGGAAATTTTTTCACAGCTATTATTTCAGCAGGATGTATTTAAATACAGATCCATCAATGACTGAGTAGAACAGGACCTGAACTTACCTTCTATTTCCATATAAACTTTGCAGGAAAAATCTCAAGAAATGACTGGAAGAGGGGGAGAATGAAGAATGCTTTAATTAAATACGACTTTTTTTTGCCAATCCAGCTACGCACCATCTCATTTGAATATGTACTATGAAATTTCAAAATTCAAATTTGAATATGTAGATATTCAACTCTTCGATTTAAACTCTTCAAAATCACTCCCTTTAAATAAGAGCATTCAACATCCAAAACACAATGGTAAGAAGAAATACCATTTCACTGAATCCTTCCAACTGGGGAGTAGGTAAGTTATCTACTCCAGGCAACTTCATTTCATCTTGAAGGATCCTGTGATCAATTTTTATTTCAACTCAGGAGATGAGTTGAAAAACAAAATGGAATGAACAAAGTCTGATGGGGACTGTGATTTGTTCACCAGGATCAGGTGTGAGTTGCTGCTGTTGGTCTGTGAGCCTCCTGGGGGGTCACTAGAGCTCCCCCTGGGGTAGATGGCACCCTTTATTGGGGCTGATTTACAGACTTCTTTCTAAGTCCAGTCCTGCTTACTCTTCTAACCTTGGTTTCGGAAATTGTGAACCACCATCAGCACCCCTGGGCTCAGTCTACCAAGGCTTCTGAAAACCAGTGGAGAGCCTGGGGCAGAGACTAGAATAGGGAAGAAGAATTTGGATGCAAACAGGTTTGGGAAATGAAACCCAATGGGAGGGGCAGAAATTTGGCAAGAGGAAGATGAAGAGACTATGCCTCTGAGTGTCCACTGTGCCTAGCTGTCTGTCATTGAAGAAGAAATTGCACTAAAGTTAAACAGACACAGCAGACTTTTTTTTTCAAGACTATTGCAATAGCAGAGACTGGCTTCAACTCTGCTGAAATCTTACCTAGAGAGCTTTTAAGCATTATATGGTTTGGTAGAAGGATGTTGGAGGTTGGTCCTTGGGGTGTGCCCAGTGCAGTGAGTTGTTCATGATTTGCAAAGGTTTTTCTTAATGACTAAATCAATCTGTGTTTGCTAATTGCTGTTTATTCAAGTTCAGCTCCTACTTCCCACAGTCTTGGAAACATTGATGGCATTTCAGGGATATTTCTCAGGTTCTTGAGGACATTCTTCAAGGGTTGCAAAACTGGCCAGAGATTGGGAGGAAAGGAAAAAAAAAAAACCCAAATTTGCAGTGACAATTTTCCTAAAACAAATGCTCTAAGTATAGGAAGGTCAGGAAGAAACTTCTGTAAGATTTAGTCAAGCTCAGGGGATCAAGCCCTTCCTGGCCACTGCCTTTATATCAACTCTGTGCCACCCATCCATGGGCCCATGATCAGTTCTCTGCTCGCCTGTGATACCCACTGCCATCACATTGGTATTTCCAAAAAAGAAGAGACTGGGCCAAGAGGAGTTGGCTTAGGGTCTCTGATCAATTCCAAGTGTTTGCAATCCATGTCAATGTCCCATCTGCCTGATGTCTGAGTGTCCATGTGGGCCTGTCTGTGTCCTTGGGGACAGGGATCCGTGTGTGCCTTCTCTGTCTTCTGCAACATTATTTTTAGTTCATTCACTTAATAATTTTTTATATCCCAGAGAACAGGTTTATTATATTAAAAAGGAAAGGGAGGCCTCCCTGGTGGTGCAAGGGGTTAAGTTGTAGCAGTATGAAGCTATCAACAGCCACTGCAGCATGAGTTCGATTATTGGTGAGGGAGCTGACCCACAGGGCGTAACAGACCTCTCCCATCTCCCCACTGCCCCCCCCCAGCAGTGTATTTCGGTAGATCTATCTGTTCTGCTCCCCACTCTGTGTCTGGTGTATCCTCTCACCACTCCCAAACCCATATCTCAGCTCTTGTATGCATAAATAATAAAATAAAACTTTAAAAAAATGAAAATTGACAAAAAGGAAAGGGAAAAAAGGAAACTTGCACAGACAGGTGGGCAGTCTTGGGAGGGGAGCTGCCTCTCTTAATAATAATTTATTAATACATTTTCTGTGTGTGTCCTGTTCATCCAGGTATTTCACTTCACTTTTGGGTTTGTCTACATTTACATCTATCTACACTGCTGGGTTGTGTCTCTCTTCTGCCTCTCGGGAAACACCCCCCCCTTCTCTCTTATTATCTCATTCATTCATACAACTTCATAAACATCACCTGAAGCCTCTGAGGAGTTCATAACCTGATAGGGAAGACAGCCCAGGGTGATGGTGGCAGGAGAGACTCAGCTTGAGGCTGAGTGTGGTGGATAAGTGAGGAGGCTTCGAGGAAGAGTTGATATTGTTGTTCTGGGTCCAGAAACAAGGCCCCAGGATTGGAGGCCTTTTGTATCTGAGTTATGAGTGGTGTGTGTTCAGGTGGAGGGAGAGGAAGGAAATCCAACGGCGATGTGTCCCAATGGCTAGAATACAGAGAGAGTCTGCAAAACACCAACCCACTGGATATTAAGGTTACAGGCCCCTTGCGCCCTCTTTTCTCAGGCCCAGGACCCCCCTCCTTCCTCAACAATTTTCTGTCGTGATTCCTCGGTGATGTGATCATGATTATCTAGGAGGATTGTGCTTGAAGGTGGGCGGGGCTGAGGCATCCTGGCCAGGCTGGGTAGCCGGGATGCCTGGGCTGGGCAGGAAGAACCAGCCAGGCAGAAGAACAGAAGGGGCTGTCCTCGGTGTCTGTGCTGAGCACTACACCTTGGCGATGGGAGTCCCTAGAGCTGTCCTGCTCTGCCTCTTTGGGGCTGTGTTCTACCTGACAGGTACCCAGACATCTGAGTTCAGTGATGAGAAGGGCCGGGGACCTGGACTGCTGGGTCTGAGCGGGGAGGGGCTGTGAGTCTGGGATCTTGGGTCTGAGAGGGAAGGGGCTGTGGTATAGGATCCTGGATCTGTGGGGAGAGGGGCTGGGGGTCTGGGATCCTGGGTTTGAGGGGGGAGGGACCTAGAGTCTGTGTCCTCATTTCTCTTCCTCTCTCCTGTTCTTCCCCATCACTCATCTTCTCCCTTGTCTGTCTACCTACCAGCCTGTCTCACCCTCCTTGTCACAAAGACCCCCTCACTCAAGGGTTACTTCTGGGGAGTTGTGTGGGGACTTTCTCCAAACTGGCAGGCATCTTTGACCTCTCCCCAGGCATCCCTTTCCCTGAGTTTGGGTAAGGACAGGGAGGAACTCATCAGATCTGACGGAGAATTGGAGGTGGAGGCAGCTGTGACTGTGCACAGCTGGTGGGTGGAGGAGAGCGGGAGAGCTGTGTCTGTGCGTGGAGCGCCCGGTGGGTGTTAGGCTCAGTGTGTTTCTCCACACCAGTTTCAATGTTTGGGTGGTTGAACACACTTTTATTTTTAAGGTTTATTTATTTATTCATTCAGAACTGGGGTACAGGCCAGAGGCACAGGGGCGGTGAGAGGATTCACAGAGACAGAGTGGAGAGCAGAACAGGCAGATCGACGAAGTACACTGCTGAGGGGAGCAGCGGGCGGGTCAGGAGAGGTCTGATGTGCCATGTGGTCACCTCCGGGGCAGGCGGGGATCAAACTCATGCAGAAGTGGCTTTAGCTACTCAGTGCTGTGTTTTAACCCGCTGCGCCACCAGGGAGGGCCTGAACACACATTTTTACAAGTTTTTTTATCTTTCTTTGTAAAAGTGATGGATAAAGAGTTTTGCGTGCCTATGCCTGCCTGGGTATTTCTGTGTCTGTGTCGGGTAGGCATGCCTTTATCCCTGGGTCTGTGTGCTCAGCTACTTTGATATATGTGTGTCTCTCTGTGTATAGCTGTGTTCATGTGTCTTGTCTCCATGTGGCTTGTATTTGTCTGTGATTTTTTTTTTTGGTCTGTGATTTTATTTTTTAAATGATTTTTTAAAAGTTGCATCACTTTTTAAAAACAATTTGTTTTATTTGTTTATGCATACAAGCACTGGGGTTCAAGCCAGAGATGGGGTGGTGGTGAGAGGACTCATTAGAGACAGTGGGGAGCAGAACAGATGGACCTACCAAAATCCACTGCTGAGGGGAGCAGCGGAAGGGTCAAGAGCTGTCTGCTACGCCATGTGGGTCAGCTCCCTGGTGGGGATCATACACTGCAGTGGCTGCAGATAATTTCACAGTGCTGCGACTTTACCCCTTGCACCACCAGGGAGAACCTGTCTGTGATTTAAATTTAAATTTAAATTGCATGTGGTGTTGTGCTACATTTTGTGTGTGTGTGTGTGTGTGTGTGTGTGTGTGTGTGTGTGTGTAGTCTCTTCATGTGCTTCTAATTTTGTGTCACTGTGGTCTCTGTGTCTGTGAGGCTTGGGTGCGTGCTTGATTCTTCCTGGGGGTGACCTCCTGTGTCCTCGGGTCTGTGGGTTGCAGCTGTTTTTGTATCCGCATCTTTTTCTGTCTGTGAGTCTGACTGTGTACACGTGAGGTGCTGTGTGTGATTGGGGCATTCTTAGCAGTTTTGTGTTAGGTATTTTGCGAGGACAGAACCCTTGTGGATTCATTAGCAGTCTTTTATATATATTTGTGAGATTTGCACAAGTCTGTTCAGTTTTGTGACTTGCTGTATATATCAGTGTTTAAGTGTTTCCTACCTACTGCCCAGACTGGCTGCATATATACGTAGGTAGGTACAGGACTGCATGGCCTGTTATGTATCCTGGGGTGTTGGCTTTTCATCAGTGGCCTGTTGGTGCTACATCCTGAGCTTATTCAGGGTGGAAGGGACAGGCAGAGCAGGCGAGAATCACTTCTTTTATGTAAATCTTAGTAAATCTTAGTGGACTTCCTGGGAGAGGCAGACTCTGGAGTCGACTGTGGTAGGTGTAGTGAGGCCATTTCTCCTCCACAAGATAGACAAAGCCATGACTACTTGCGGGGTCCACTCTGGGCCTCTGGAAGTCACAAGGCCTGTCTCCCCGTGTTACTGTCATTTTCAGGGTGGAACCCAGGCCAGGTTCCTTGTGCCTGGCTGCTCCTCTCACCACACCCTTGCTCTTTTCCTCAGAGTCCCAAGCCTTGCGATGCTACAGCTTTCAACAAACCTACTCCGGCCCCTTTGACCTCAGTGGCATGAAACTCCATGAGGTCACCTGTCCCCAGGGATGCACTGAGGCTGTCTTGTCCCTGGACACTGGTGAGAGGCAGGGAGTAGAGAGAAAAGAGGGTATTCAGAAGAAAGGGGTGGGGACAGGGTCAAAGAGCAGAGATGGGTGGGGGTGGGGGAAAGGTGAAATTGGATAGAATAAGGTTAAGGGTGGAGATGGGGAGGTGAAGAAAAAGAGGAGCAGGCAGAGAAGGGAAGGGCAAGGAGAGAAAATGGGGAGGCGCCAGGGAAGGGGAGCAGGGCAGGAAGGAGATGGGGGAGAGAAGGGCAGGAGGAGGAATGGGTTGAGGAGAGGACGCAGGGAAAGTGGAGTTTGAAAGGAAGGAAGGGAGGGAGGGGCAGGGCTGGAAGGAGAGGCAGGACCCACCCGTCAGGGCTGCAGGGCTGCGAGCAAAGAGACAGCAGGAGAGAAAAGAGGTAAAAGGGCAGGAGGATAATAGCTGGGAGGAGGTAGCACGCCAGGCCCCAATCTCCTCCGGCCGCAGGGTATCGCTCCTCTTTGACCATGGTCCAGAAAGGCTGCTGGACAGGCCCGCGCACCGGCCAGATGCAGTCCAAGGACACAGCGTTGCCACCCGACTACTCGTCCGTGTGGGGCTGTGAAACTGACCTGTGCAACACCAACCTCATGACCCACGACACCATCCCCAACCTGAGCCCAGGTGTGCAAAAAGCAGGGCTGGGCAGTGTGTGTGTGGTGGGGGCAGCGAGGGGCTGGGAAGGCCAGGGGCATGGCCTCCACTGGTTGCCTCCTCCCTGCCTGCAAGGGTTCCTGCCCACCCTCGGGCTCGGTGGGTGCCCTGCTGCAGCGCACAACCTGTGCCACCAAACTGAGAACCATTACTTCAGTGTGCCTCTGTTTTTCTTGCCAGCACCCAACCCACCAACACTCAGTGGCACTGAATGCTATGCCTGCGTGGGGATGAATCCAGAGGACTGCGCCCCAGAAAAGTCCCGACAAGTCCAGTGTCACCAGGACCAGTCTGTCTGTTTCCAGGGCAATGGCCAAATGACTGTCGGTAAGAAGCTGGGAGAGAGGGAGGCAAGGGGCGTGGAGGCAAGGATAATCTGAGGGGAGAGGCATCAGGAAGTCCTGTTGAGGAAGCATAACAAGGGTCTGAGAGGCAGAGACACACGTCTGAGGGAAGAGCTGCGGTGTTCATCTGAGGGACAAGGCTGGCACTTGTCTGAGGAAGGGAGGCCTGGCTATGGTCTGAGGGAGGAGGCTGCCCTGGGCCCTAGTCTCTGGGCTGGAGGTTCTGGTGCATTTCCACTATAACTGCCTCCTTCAGTTCTGACCTCTCTCACTGTCTCTCCCCACCCACCCAGGCAATTTCTCAGTCCCTGTGTACATCAGAACCTGCCACCGGCCCTCCTGCACCGTCATGGGGACCACCAGCCCCTGGACAAACATTGACCTCCAGGGCGCATGCTGTGAGGGAAATCTTTGCAACAGGGATTCTCTGACCCAGTCCTTCACCTCAGCTGCCACGCCTCCTCCTGCACCCCAACTTGTGGCCCTGCTCCTGGTGGTTCCCCTCCTGGCTGGCATTCTGGAAGGATCCCTCAGGCTCTCCTCATAGGCAGCCCCGCCCCCTCCCCGCCCCCAGCCTCTTCATGAAAGGATCCTGTGCCCTCACCCCCTGCTTCAGCCCCCACACTGTGGTTCACTGGAAAATGTCAAACAAGAGTTGCGTGCCTGACTCCCTCCTGCCCTCTTCCCTACCGCCGCCCTTACCTGCCAGCAGGCCTAGGAGAAATTGGGCAAGGTCCCTAGCTTCTTTGGGTGGGGTGGAACAGACACATCCTGCCCTGCGTGAAAAGCAGGAAGAGTAAGTAATAGGGATTACTAAGTAAGCACACCCCGGCCGGCCCGGGGCACCAGACCTGCTTCCCTAGGTTCTTCTTCTGCAACCAGGCCCCAGAGCAGCTCCAGCAGGCGCCGCCCACATGTCTTCATTAGCATCTGAAAGGCTATTGAGGCAGCAGGTCCTAAAGGTTAGGAGCCCAGGCCCTGAACCCAAGCTGCCTGGGTTTAAACTCCAGCACCACCATTTAGCCTGTGGGTGACCTTGGGCAAGTTACTTAACCTCTCTGTGCAGATGTTTCCTCACTTATAGGTGGTGGTGAAAAGCACTGCCAATGACATTGACAGGGCAATGCTTTCTTTTTTATGGTTCTCACCGTGGTCTGACCAGGATTTAATGAGATGAACCTAAAAGGCCTGGATACAAGGGTCAACCTGTTAAGTGGGCTGTTGGGTTATTATGAGCCTCATGTCACAGAGGAGCAAAGGATAGGGGAAGACTCTTGCCAGAGATCATGAAGCTAGTGAATGGAGAGCCATGCACCACTGGCCAATTCCCTTCCAAACACTAGGGTGGTGATTAATTTAACAGAGACCAAGCTGAGCCAGGCAATATTTGCAACCAGTGGCTATCAGGGAAGACTTCCTGGAGGAAATACACCATAAGCAAAAGCCTAAAAGATAAAAAGGAGTAGGACAAAAGCTTTCTAGATGGAGAAGACAGCCTGGAAAAAAATCTGGGGCAGTTATTATACGACATCATGAACTTCAGATACAGTCACTGCCTTAGGGAGGTGTGAGTCACAATTTTTGATGTGATGATGGTAAGAAAACCACATTCCATCGTGACTGCTATCTGTATATTTATATATTGCATATTTATAAATATATAATTATATAGAATAGAGAATATATATGTATATGTTCTATATATTTAATCATGATATATGATATATAATTATATGACTATATGTTAGTGAAGTATATATAACTATATATATTTATAATAAATTAATACACACATATAACAGATCCTCAGAAAACATAATTTTGTTTAATTTTATTATGTTATAACATCCAGCACAAGCCAGTCCCTGTCAATGTTGAGCTAAAAGATGTTATTTGAGAACTGGCTTTCATTCTAGTTGTTTTCAAGATTCCAAGAACCGATCATGGATACTAAGTGAGGACCCTGCTGTATAGTATATATGTAATAATTATATATAATGTACCATATATAATTATATAGATAGTAATATATTTACATATGATATAAAATAATACATGACATATTGTAACATATAAGATATAAAATGTACAGCTACATATTACATAAAATGTCATGTATAATATATAAGATATATAATAGGCAATTGCCTATTATATTAGTTTTATAATATGTATATCATACAACAATTATTTATAGTATATACCTAGGTGTATATCATGTACATTATACACTGTATGTAATATTGCAGATAGTATTCATATATAACTAAGACATATATAATTACATAAAACATTTTCATCAAGCTATAAAATACACCCAGTAGAATGCCTAATTTTCCCATATGTACACATCTAGGCAACATCCACTAGATCAAGATATAAAACGTTTCTTCCCTAACCCCAAAGACTCCCTCATAGGCCTTCCCATCCCAGAAGCAGCCATTACTCTGACATCTCTCACTGATCAAGTTTGTCTCTTTTGAAAACTCGTACACGTGAAGCCCCACAGCCTATTCTCTTGTGCACAGGGTTTACATTTTACACAGGTTACTGGGGCATGAACAGCCCCTCAAGGAGGTAGCTTCTGTACCACTCAGGCATGGGATGATGGGGTGGCACAGTGGGAATGAGAGGAGTTGGATAAACAGTAGATTTTGTTGGGAGAGCTGATAGGACTTCCCACCTGAGTGTGGGGTGTGAGGGAAAGCAAAGGCATTTGATTCTGTGGAAACATTTCGGCTTGCACAGGGCCCTGTGAGAATTCAACCCTCCTGGCGCTATCTCTCTAAAGGAAACAACAGATATCACAGGTAAAGGGTCAGTCTTACTAGACTCCCTAGCCCCGCTTCAGGGTCCAGTTGTAAGCCCCAATTATTACCCGGCCTTCTGACCACAAGTCAGAGATTCCCACGACTCCTCCTTGAGTTTTATTAGTTTGCTAGAGCGGCTCTTAGAACTCAAGAAACCGTTTACTGACTAGATTACTGATTTACTCCTAAAGGCACTAAAGTATATGAGGCAATGATTGATAAAAAGATATGGAGGGTGTGGTCCTCAACAAAAGCGTTTCTGTTCTGCGGAGCCTGGGCCCCAGCATAGTGACACCTGACAATATTGTGGTTGTGGTCTCCAAACCTGGAAGCTCTCTGAATCCCCTCCATTTTTTTCTTGCTTGTGTGAGTTTTTCTTTTTTTTTTTTAAGTGGCAGCTTCATTATTTAGGTATGATTAAATCATCGCTGACTGATTTATCAAGAACATACAGTCCCTTGCCCTGATTTTCTTGGTAACCAATCGCAGTCGTTAAGTATCTCCAAAGTCACCTTCACTGACTTCAGTGGAGGTACAAAGGAGCATGTTGTGAGTAATAATAAACCCATATAAACTTTTATAAGATGGAGGGCAGGCTGCCAGTTACTGTGATAAAAGATGTTCCCAGCTGCTCTTATCATTGAAGAAATTCCAAGGGTTTGGGGGTTGGTGAACAAGATTGTATGTGAGAAATATCAATTGATCATCTGAATTAAAGATGTTTGTAATTTATATGTATAATATATAAATATAATTACATACTTCTTATAATTCACAACATCTCAATCTCACAAACATGTCAGGAATGAAAAACACATAAGAGACAATTTTTTTTGTTAATTCCATTCCAAGGGCCAAAGGCTTTGTATGCAATTGTAGATGAAGATAGTGATTATCTGGGCCTCCCTGGTGGTCTAGAGATTAAGTCTCAGTGCCTAGTACAAGGACAGGCTGAGTTTGATCCCTGACCAGGAAACTGACCCACCTAAGCACAGCAGACCTCTCCTGTCTCCCGCTGCTGCTCTCAGCAGTGTATTTCAGTAGCTCTGCTTCCCACTCTGTCTCTGGAAAATCTCCTCACCCACTGTGCCTCTGTCCTATAATCCAGTTCTTGATGCATAAAAAAAAAAAAGAAAAAGCACAACCTTGGAAGCTCTGGCTGATAAAATATGACAGCTCTCGTAGCTCCAGAGAGGAAAATTAGGGGAAGTTTCTGATTAGAGTCAATCCCTAAGGAGACATTTAAATGACAAGTGGGAACTGGCAAAGAAGCAGAAGGAAGAGCATGCCAAGTCAGGACAGAATGGACAAAGACTGGTATATGCATAAGTGGCTGAAGACAGATGAAATGCAATTACTTGTGAGTTAGTGGTTGTTAAAGGATACATTGGGATTTATTTTAACTTCTGTTCACTTCTTTTTTTAAAAAAAGATTTATTTATGCATACAGAACTGGGGTACAGGCCTATGAGATTCAGTGGTAGTGAGAGGAATCACCGCAGAATCACTACTCCCACAGCTGGTATTTTTTTTAATGCTCTCCTTTTGTGATTTCATTCAAGCTAATTGTGTAACATTTTTTAAATGTTACACATCTTTTAAAACTAGTTCATTATTTTATTACACAAACTGTCTTTATAATATTACCTCTCACATTGTAATAATTATATGTAAATTACTTAGAGCAAAAATAGAAACTTTACAGTACAATAAATACATGCAACCAGGAATACAAAAAAAGAGCAGACCAGGCAGATTGACGAAGTACATTGCTGAGGGGAGCAGCAGATGAGACAGGAGAGGTCTGCTGCACCATGTGGATCACCTCCGGGGCAGGGATCAAACTCATACTGAAGCACCGGAAGTTAGCTTGCAGTGTTGCACTTTAACTCACTATGCCTTAACCTGCTGCACCACCAGAGAAGGCCTTCTGTTCACTTCTTTATGTTTCCACAATAAGTATATTTGTATATAAAATTATGCATGCATGAGTAGATCGATGCATAGGTAGATAGCTAGAATGGACATATAGATGATAGGTAGATAGATAGATAGATAGATAGATAGATAGATAGATAGATAGATAGATAGATAGATAGATAAAACAGAACAAACACCTATCAGACTCAGTGATCCAGACACTTCCTCCCTTAGGACTCAGATGTCTGATCCAGATGATTCAGTGTCTGGGTCATACATGTATCACTCCTTTCTCAATATTCCACTGCTCTCGCCAGCTTAATTAAGTGGGAGCCTCGGTCAGCACCAAGGACAGATCCACAGCATAGGATCTCAGAACCAGAGACAGCAACTCACCTAGCTGGAAAGGACAAAAGGCAGGGAAATTAGGAAATGATAGCCTTCCCACCTCCAGGATAGTGTGAAACAGAGTAAGAGACTAGAGTGAAGGATAGGCAATCAGTACAAGCATTCCTTCAGCCAATAACCATTGAGCACATGTCAGGCAGTGCTCTGAACACCAGAGATTGCAAGGTCCCTGTCCTTATCAGGGACTAGACAAATAAGACAACAGGATCATTTAGTTATTCCTAAGTGTCATGTTAAAGACAAAGCAATAAATAGGATACAGGATTATTTATGGAGAGGGAAGATAACATTTTTTAAGTAGCCAAAGAACAGACCATTTTTGAACAGGTAAAGGAATAAAATAAGCAAATGATTCTTGAGGAAGCTGGAGGAAAAGGCATTCAGGCAAAAGGGAAAATAAGTACCAAGACCTTGAGGCAAGAAAGACCTTCAAATTTGAGGATCAGTGAGGAAAATGGATGTGATGGAAAGAGGTAAATGGAGGGGAAAGTGGCAGGAGGAGTTTTGGCAAGTGAG